CGCCGTTGCTCCATCCGCTCGGCGTGCTGCGCCAGACAGCGGGTCAGCTCCTCGGGCAATAGCTCTAGCTGGCCCTGCAACGAGGTCAGCTTCTCCTCTAGGCCGACCAGACGATCCTCCAGACCCACCAGACGCTCCTCCACCGCGTCCTGCCGCGTGCTCATGTCCGAGACGATCTCGTAGACGGTGTTTTGTGTCTGTCATGGACAAGACAATGCGTTAGATACGTCAAGAAATTTACCTATATCCAGATTCTGTCATTTTTAATGATCGTTCGGTATTGTGTTATACTGTTGTTGCGCGACGATAATATAACGACATTGTCATTAAAGGTTACAGAATTGGGATACTGGATGATGATGTAGAACAACGTTGCGTTTACAATCATAAATCGCTTATTTTACGTAACTATCGTGAAAAACTAACTTCCTCTTCTATTATTTATTCTCTACGAATAAATAATAAAAAGATTATTAATTCTATAATTAAATTTTTTCGCGACAAAAATGAGAATAATTGATCCTGAATGAAAATCCTGATTTGGAGGCGAGCTGTTCTAAGCAGCCATGAGAGCTTTGAAACGTAATCCCCTTCAATCCCCTCGGTACGCTGCTGCAATATTCCATCGAGCTTTACAAGAGGATGCAGGTTTCCCTTGTTAGCACAGAGCCTCACCTTGGCCATGTCCGTTATAGTGTTGGCGTTATCCATCAATTTACGCTGATCCATTTTCACCTTTCTGAGTCTGAAATTTCGAGGTAGTTGCGAAACAGGGTATGATTACGCACTGGCCTAACTGTGGTGATCTAATACGACCCGGAGTGCCCGGAGTAGTATCGACTTACGCGTATATGGCCAATAGGAATTTCCGCTGATGAGTCCTCACACGTCCAGGATTGACGCGCTTTACCAAGCGGGTATGCTTGTAAATCAGCCACGTTTCCCGCAACACGTTCGCCGCGGCGTTCTTCAACTGCAATAGAGCAAACAACGTGTTTATTGTCACTCAAGCACCCCTTCAGCACTGAACCTTCCGTCGGTATTTAACAATGTCTCTGATGGGATCATATCAATATTTTATTGGAAATATATCCTCATCACTCTTAAGGCTTTAAAAAGTTTTTCAAGGTTTCTTTTCTTCTTTCTACCTTAGACAATGAAGAGATCATTTATTACGTCCCCAGGGTTAGGTAATTTTATTTATAGGCTAAAAAAGAATGCCTGCCGTAGGATGTATACAGTGTACTTTCGCAGTTCAAGAAGGAATTATTCAAACTATATTCACTCGGTAAACATTATGCTATAGCATTAATTGCACAGCTCGTTAACTATGATATTCAATGTCACGGTCAATTATCCCTTTCAGAATCTTGAGGAAAGTTGTCTCAAGAAATAATTGAAGCCTCGTTAGGAACATACGTTCTACACGTGTATTTTGGCCTCGTACGAGTGTCAATTAAAAAGAAAAAATTGCAAGATCACGGTTCTCTCTCGTTAATTACATTGTGCTATATTTTGTGTGCGGTATTTTGCCAAGGAAAAAAAGCATCCACGCTCGTTACACAAATCTTACATGGCCCGGAGAAAAAAAAGTGTTTCGAGAGGACTGACGTTTGTTTTGTTGCCGCGCTGATGGGATCAGATCGATTCCGCTTATGCAATGACGTGAAAAAAAGCGATATGCGTCTGAGGGTTAAAACAGCGTAAAAAGACTCGTCGATACGGTTACGTGTATAGCTCTACGTTACCACTCCTTGATATTTGCAAAGTTTATAAATAAACGCTGGCTAATAATTATTTCAGTAGCCGTATGGTTGAAGGCTTCGATCCGGAGGTGGAGAGAAGCGGCCGTACTTATGCAACCACACGTTCACGTCGTGCGGAACGATCAATCTAAATCCTAAACAGAATATTTCGAGCTACGATTTTAATTAATAAAGCGGTTCATCGGAATATTACGAAAAAAGTATTTTCAGACGTGCCTTTTTATTTCTGAATAATTTCGGAATATATATATTTCTGAATATATAAAGTCCGTCTACCTTCGCGTGCGGTAGGATTGCAAATCGCTGCATTAACTCTTTACTTCTGACATCGGCCGATCGATTATGTCACGATCTGCGGAACATGTACAACGAGTTGTCAAGGGTCTCCTCGTAAAGAAACTAACGATGGAAATGTCCATTTTTCCAGCTCCTGCGTTTTTCTTCGAATTCTAAATTAATGCTAAATTTCCCAAGTGACTTGCGGACTCATTGATTTTGTTTTTGTCCTTAAAACTGAATTGCCATTAAGGACGTAACTTCCAAATCTCGTGTCCCAAAGCGCTCGAAACTCCTGCAAGTTTTTCCCAGCTTCTAATATTCACTATTCAACTCCCAACTGCAGGCGGTCGACTTCCTAACTTATAATTTAAGTTCAATGAAACACGCCGGTGAATTATGGTGTCTATTATTGTTATAAAGTGTCCCAGAAATGGCAAAATTTCCTGTGCGACATATCAGAAAGCGATCGCGAATTTTGCAGCAGTGTTTTATTATCACGACTTCCTTCAAATCGCCTTTTTATTTATTCAAAAGTTTGTTGAGATTAAATCGATCGATGTCACATTCTTTTCGTGATGACGAAGGTTAAAATGACACATTAAGTAGCCGATTTGTTCATCCCAATATAGTAAATACCATTTTGTATTTTGGTCAAAAATCAATTGTTAAAATTTTTGTGCTAAATTTTTAACATATCCGCGAGTTAATTTAAAGTGATTGTGTTATCTGAATCTTTTGTGTTGAATTAATATTCACAACATTTCATAATTTTAAGAATAACACAATTTAATTTATGAATAATTGAGCAAATTACATAAAAATAATGTTTTAAAATAAATTTTAAGATATAAATGAATAAAATATATTCATTTAACATATTATAAATGTTAATTTTATTGAAATGTATTAATTTTACTAAAACATGTTAACATATTGTAAATATTTATTAATTTGTTTTTTTTTTTATTAATTTTACTGAAGGAATATGTTTCACAATTTGACTACAAAATGTATCAATATTACATTTTTTGTGATAATTTTTTATATAATACTTGTATTGCTTTCTAATATATTTATATCGTGTTAAATTAATATAGAAATTTGAATAGACTGTTTAAGACACGTGAAATACTATATGTTAAATTTAAAACAAATTTTCTAACTGTGAGAGAAACATCGATTTATTTATCTGAATGGACAATTCGATAATACTCTCCACTACGACATGCACTTTGTTATACTCGTTTAATATAAAAGAACTGTGAAAAATGTTCGAGTATTTAAGTTTCTCGAATCTGAACTTCTCAATTCGAAATCCTTACAGTTTTGTAAATTTCTAAACTCTACCTCAAGGATTTTTTGTGATTCTTAAAATTTTTTTTTCGCACATTTTTATGTCGTTCTCATCATATTTTGAATTTCTTTCTTCGAGATTAAATATCTAAATTTTCGGAATTATTATGTGGAATTTTGAGATTTTTAGATTCGCATTCTCAGAATTCGTCGTTTTCGCCGTTTCTCCCAGAATTCTGACATTCATCGTCGCGGACTCTTAATATTATCTATCTCGGTTTCGCGATATCAAAATTAAGAATTCAGATTAGCAATGAAGGGAAAGTTCTGCCTAAAGGTCAAAGCGACTTCATGCAGTCCGCTTATTTCCGAGACAACCTTACTCGCAGTGGGATACTTTCTTATTACGTGGCTCAGCCAGAAAATTACATCGCACTATATATACATAGAGAGTGATATCCATCATGCTCTCATTACGTGCTTAATTCGCTTTCCTGATTCTTGCGGGATACTCTCGGCGAGTGTAATTTCGAAACCGCCTTTGCAATTACGTCTATTACTGCTACTGTTCTCTTTGTTTAAGAAATTTTATACCATCTTTAGTTGAAAGCCAAGCATTATCTTTATCATCATTAGAGATTTTTTACCGTAAAAATCGAAACGTTAAAAACTTTAAGAACTTTGCAATTTAAATTTAAATGCGCGTAAATTGAGAATTTTTCAAATTTCGCGAGCGTTAATGAGTTCGTTAATTACTCATCAGTTTTTGATCTATTTTATTTAAAATACGTTGATATTTAAATCGTTTCGTATATCATCTAAAAATAATGACCAAAAGATAATATACGAAACTTTTCTTTTATTACTACTTGTCGTCTTACTTTAGAAACTTGTTTACTACATATACATATCATTAAAAGTTGGCTCCTTTAATTCAGAAACTTGCGCTGGATATACAAGAACATCGCATAGTTAATTGTTACAATGCAGAAAAGTAACTTGGATACTTGTAAAATTTCTAGCTTAATATTCTGTATTTAAGCAAGAATATTTATTTGAACAAAAAGAGAAGTAATTTTAAATCATCCCATCATTATTTACGTGAATTCTATTTAATCCTCTGTATTTCGAATTAATTTTTTTAATTAAATTGATTTAACGATGATAAAAGTATATAGTATTATTATTATATTATTCTATCAAGACTTTACGAAAAGTTTTGTAAAACCTGTGATAATAAGTCTGCAAATCGAAAACTGAAAATAAATTTTTCCGAAGCTATTTAAGTTACATTTTACGAGCTAAATGAATGTTTAAATAAAAAGTTTCGAGCAAAAGAGCAGGCATATATCTCTTCATTATATCGGTCGATACAAAAGTGGTACGTACTATTGTAGACTATTATAGATTAGTATAGACTAATATGAGACTAGTATACTAGTTCTCTCTATTCCAAGTGTACTTCCTCTGTTCGATCCGACTGTTCGATTCGCTAATCTTTTACAATCGTCTTTTTTCACCATATATTTTACGGTCAATAATTTTAGATCAGAATATGTCTGTCGTATTACGGAGTCTGTTATACCATTTATTATTTTACATCTGTTAATAGAAATTGTTATGCAAGTGTTGTGAGCGTTTCATCGTGGCAACGTAACTCCCTTTTCTCCGTATTATGATAACCGCAAGGCTACTATTAACACAAAGGTCTTATGCAATGGCTAGGACGGAACGCCACAGACACGACGGCCTTACCCTTTTCGTTAATTGTGTGTCCATCATAAAGTTGTGCACGTGCTTCTCCGCCCGCGTAAGCTCAAGCTTCCTGGAGACGACTGCCACCAGCAAAGCGGTGCACCCCGCGCCCTGAAATTTCAGGAAAATGCGATCTCTCGTGAGCTTCTCTTTCACATGAAATTTGTAGATCCTGAAACTTCCACTTTCCGCGCACTTCTCTTAAGAACCTTAAGTATATATACGTCCGTTTTTCGAGAGAATCTTTTTCCGATCCCTCGACGATCCCTCAAGCTGGTTTCACCGAGTTGAATGTAACGAAAAGAATCATTTTGTTTTATTAAAGATACGTTCTTCTAATAGCGACAGCTTCTTACGATCCTTTGTAGGTCCTCTAATATCTTCGGAAAGTCTTCTCTTTGATTTCGAAAGTAAGAAATAAATCAAACTTATTAAGTCTGACCAAAAGAATATGGCGAGTGAACAAATGTGTATGTCATTGGGCTAAAAATTTAGGTCACCGATAAAAAGAAGAATTTTTGAAGACGTTCCAAGACTTACAAAAAATCATAACAATTTCCTTGCAAGTTGTAGAACAGAATAAGCGAAAAAAAGGGACAAAAGAAAGAATCCAACGCGATATTTCGATTTATATTTAGTATATATATATATACAGAGAAAAATATTCTGGTTAAATCAACAAAAAGACCCAACCAGAATGGCGTTTTGGTGAGACCAAACAGAATTTTTGGTTATCATAACCAGAAATTCTGTTTGGTCTCACCAAAATGCCATTTTAGTTGTACCTTTTCGTTAGTTTAACGAGAACATTTTTCCCTGTTTATACGCGGAAAAAATTATTTGGTGTTTATGAGTTTAATTGCATATAGCTTATAAATTATAGTTGCTTTTGGGAACATATTTTCTTTTGGCATGTAGAATATAATTATTACTAATTAAACATAATTATTATTACCAACATTACAGCAATAATAATTACAAAAATGGAGTTCCTAACCATATAATTGTAGTCACAAAAACTTTTCTCTCATTGTCAGTGTAAAATTGAGAGAAAAGTTTTTGAAAGAAAATGTATTTCAAATAACAATTTTCATCATAATAGAGTTATTAATTAAGTTGATTTTCATTAGGTAAAATCTGTCTCATTAATAACTAAACTATCTGTTCAATTACAAGGAAACGACATGGTTAGAGAGAATTGTTTTTCATTTGCTGCTTGCAATTAATAGCAAAATTACTCTAAGTGCAGAGTAATTTCATAGAATTTACGAGATGCATCGACAACATTATATACACTAACAGATAAATTTTTTGTATTTGTAACTGTAATTACATGTCACTGTAATTATAATTGTTGCTGTTACAATGTTAGTAATAATAACTGTATGTAGAATTCTATTAATAAATATATGTTTGACAACCGAAAATGAGACTAAAAAACTATAATTATTATTATATCAGAAAAATGGTTGCAGTTACCTCTCTCATGAAGCGGGTTTCGGAACGTATTGTAAATTATGTTCGTGACTGAATTTCAGGAACAACTCGGAAAGCGGAAGTTTCCGAGGAATTAGCTCATGTTGTTGGAACCAGCGCTGGTCAAAGCTCGGCGCTAACCACGAGTGCTAACGGATTAGTGGGGAGCGCGGCTGGATGGAACAAGATCGGGAAGGAAGAGATGGATAATGAATAGAGAAGTGTGATAATATAATAAGGAACGGCTTGGGCGTTCCCCGAGGGAGCGAATGGACGTGGCGTTTATTGCGTCTCTAAGCAATGCCTTTAATTACTAGCGGTTACCGTGCGACCGTAAACTCGAAAGCGCCGAAATCTGATGGCGGTGCACAAATCGGCGGACAAGCGATCTGCAACTCGGACCGGCACACGAGCGAGATCGATCGATTGTCCGCTCAGCTGAGCGACGCTCATTACGCTTGTCCAGCAGTAATGAAGCTTGGAGCTTAATGCACGAGTTACATCGGGTTACATGCCTGCGGAGTCGCGCGTCTCGACTCGGTTGCGGTCGCGTATATTGTGCCCCGGTAGTTTGTGGTAACTACGGTAAGGATTAACGACCGGTGTAATCGATAATACAACGCGCGTAATCCGACAATCGTAATTTTCGACGTCCTTATCAAAACAATTTTCCTAAGACAAGTCGCGCATTTAAGCACTGAGAGAAAAGTGTGATATTTGCGATTATAATTGAACAATAAAATAAATAATACTTTTATTGTCATTTTTATAGTCATTACTGTAATAATAATAACTTCATATTTATAGTTCTATTAAAAAAATTATATTATCGTGATGATTTCAAATATTAAATATCAAGACTTGAACAAATAAATAAAATAAATATTTTTATGTATTAAGTGCAATCACAATTATAGTGAATATAATTACAAATATAACTATTTGTTTAACATTTGCTTGCAATTTATGTGATAACAACAACTAAAAAGATATGTGAAAGAAAAATAAAGAACAATTTATTTCACAATATGATTGTATGATTGCATATTACAGTTGTGATAATTGTGTAATGTAGTTGAACCAGCTATAATTTGTATAATTATGTTAGAACTACTATATAGTTAAATTATGATAGTTGCAATAATTTTTTTTCTCTCAATAAAGAAATTCAAATATCTCCTTTTTTCTCGTTTGAGAAAATAATTTTAATTAAAATAAAAATATACAATTACTTTCGTGTAAAATCTTTCCTACAACAGATGCGTTACATTTCTCTCGCGGATCGTCATTGTACGTTTGATAGAAGACGTGTTATCAGCGTTACCGCGTCTCTATTATAGGATCAACGTCGCAAGCAACGCATTAAATAATCGATAAGAGTTTGCGAGAACGGTAAGAACCTCGATTCGTGCTAGTTTATGTTCTGCATTATTCTCATCCTTACCATCATTCCGGTGGAGACGGCTATACCTCGACCGCAGTATGTATTGGGCACGATGTCGCCGAAACCGACGCTCAGGAACGTGATGGCGATGAGCCACATGGCGTTGAGGAGATTTGCATGTTCCTCATCGTGGAATCTGCGGTAGCAAAATGACAGACGCATTACTTTAATGATGAAGCGTGTAATATCTTACGTTTCTAGATCCTTAAACTCTTTATGAGATGCTACGAGTTGAACGTTTCAGATCTTAAGATACTAGAAACTTCAAGACTTTAGAGTTTAGATTTCTAAAAGGATTGAAAGTTATAAATACTCTATTCAGAAACAGATAATCTCTTTTCGAACTACCCTTAAGAGGGTATTGAGAGTAATTAGATTCAGAGCACCGTGTAATTATTCCTTTCATGCATTACGTGCTTTAATTGATATTAAATTGTAGGAAACGGTCATTTCAGGATATCTGTTTTAATGTTCGTGATGTTAGAAGGACATTATGGTCTAGATTAGCAAATTCCTCGATTCCTCTTTTTATTGGCGATTCGATACGTCCGTTTTGCCGTAACCGGCGTTTAATCTTCACCGGAGGGCTGAGCGACCGCTCTAGGGTGAGCTACGGACAAGTAACGCAGGATGAAAGACAACATTATGCCCCCCACGAGATTCATTATCGGGCGCAAAGAGGATTGGGTTGACAATGCGAGCGACGTGCCAGGCTGTAATCCAACGTCGTAAAGCGGTTTTAACAGTCTCGTTACACGGCCGATGTTACATCGATTTAGCCTTTGCATAGATGGTAAAACCATCTTTTAGAGCTCATTTAGGGTTCCGGCCTTCGATATCTAAGAGCCAACTCGATCGGTTGATTATCGCTTCCCCGGACAACAAATCGTAATCACGAAAAATCCTAACTAGGGCTATACACCTCTACTAATAATTGTCGGTGTCGTTATGTATCGTTGCTTTTCACCACACAAAATATCTGTGCACCGACACATAATGCCAGCGACAACTATCGATAGACGTGTACAAAATAGTAACCCAGATAGCAAGCTGACGTTACTCGTCATATCAAAAAGACATTAAAGACATTATTTTGACGTCAAATAACGTCAGCTTGCTACCTGGGAAGATGATATACGTATATACATAAAGAATCATATATTCTTCACCGAGAGGAAAATTTTGGTATTTGTAAATTACTGCTATAATATAAGTAATAATAACTATATGTATGATAGTTCTCTCAACAATTATATACAGGGTGTAATTGAAATAACTCCCCTAATCATAAGTGTTATTCCTAATAAAAAACTAAGTTGAAAAGTCCTCTATCATTTTGCAATTTTCGCAATAATTAACGAGATATTAATTTCTAAATATTGCCGAATAAACGGATAAAATCGAGGTAGTCCAAGACAATTTTGAGATATCTTTCCGTGTTCTTTATAAAATATTTTGAAAATTTTTCTTAAAGAACTCTTAAAGATATCTTAAAGCTGTTTTATACGTCGATTTTAGACATTTTGCTCACTGGATAACTAAAAAAAAATATTGCGAAAATTGCAAACTGGTAGAGGACTTTTTGTCTCGGTTTTTTATTAGGAATACCACTGTATGATTAGTGGGCGTTATTTCGGTTACACCCTGTATAGTTGATAACCAAAAATGAATTATTTGAATTGCATTACCCATTTTCTCAGCTTATAGCAGCATTTTTCATATCAAATATTAATTTTAATAGAACACATCACTTACAATCCATTCATATAATAAAAATTTTTACAATTTTGGCATTCATAATGTTCTACCATGACACACTTCAATTGGTATTAATTAACATAGTTAAATGAGTCTTACAGACCTAGCATCAGTAACTGTATTACAGATTTTGGTTTCAGCTTCGGAAGATTAATGTCTTTAAATGATAGCGCAATAATATTTTACTACCTTAACAAAAATTATAGCGATAAAAAGGAAAATCTTTTTGATGAGATTAACCCATGTAACGAACTTTACTCTTCCACTCCCACTTGGTTCCGATAAAATTGATGACTCGCGCTTGATGTAACGAATAGTCCACTCCATAGAAGCCCCATGAAACGGATTATTTTCGTAGCAACGTTGATTGTATGACTGATTGTTGGCCGCGTACCGTGAAAATCGCTTTATTGTCGTGGAAATTTGCGCGGCCACGTGCAGATGCACACTGAATAAAATATCATTCGTATTTCGCGACAGTTTCCGGTCCCATAATCCGAGAGTAAAATTGGCCGTGGGGCCCGCACGATGCATACGTTGATGTGAGAGCAAAATTATCAAATTGATTTTTTAATTTTGAATGCAAATACGCGACCGCAAACTCGATAATCTCGAACCGCACGCGTTAGTTGAATAATACGACCTCACGCGTCGATATCATACACGATATGATTTATTTTATAAAATGGATTTGGAAATATTTATTTATTTTTGATAAATAAACACTCTATATGCAGTTTACGAGAAAACTGACAGCAGCGGAAATTCATAATAATGGTTGATAATGATAATAATAAAACAATCTATTACTACATGATGCACTAAAAATCATGAAACTTTATTAAATACCGCCAACAACGTTTATAAAATAGAGATTTAAATAAATTTAATGTATACAACTATTACTGTAATGTTTCACATGATATGTTTAAATTGACTGTGATGGAAATTGATAATGTTTTGCCATAGCATAATTTATAATTCGTAATACCGTAATATTAAACATTGACTGAAATATCGTTAATAAACTACTAGCAAAGTAGACATTTAAAAAAAATTACGTTTATTTAAAAAAAAAACATTCTCTATACTATAGCCATATTTTTTATCGATACTTCGCGAGTCGTATTTACATAATAAAATAAAAAATAATAAAATTATCAAAATAAACATTAAATGAAAATTGAAATTCCTTTCGTAAACACCGTTTCATTCACTAAAACATTCCGCGAGGTATTGCGATGTTCGAGATATTCTCGTATTCATTTAGCATACGTCGGAAATTTATCGGAAAGCCGAATGTTCCTAGCATTATCGGGCGTATTATCATAATCGACTATCGAGTAACGGTGGAGGGCGATAAATCAAATATGGGTGATTTTCGAAGATTGCCCTACGAGCAACAATGAAACAGCTGACCGACATTATTTAAAATCATTCATCCTGCGTCGAGGATACAGGATGCTAGAAGCAGCCAGTAACACGTCGACACACATTTCGCCGAATGATAAATATTTCAGTTAAGGATGTGGGTGGAAAATCTCCCATCATCCATTAAGAAGAACCGAGTGGGTTTTAGAAGACGGCAGGTAAGAAGGATCCTTTTCCTCCGAGCTACATGGCCATGGGGATCAATAGCAGACGCCTTATATCGTTTGGGTGAAGATTGATTATTCCTAAAATCGGCGCAACTATTTATGGAAAGAATTTAATTATCAGTCAGTCTCCGAGATCCGCTAAATCTCCGCGATCGCCAGCCAGCGACCCCAATCGGGGATTCCGACCCGCTTTGGCGGAAGGATGCACTGAGATTTATTATTACGGCGCGGTAGCGCGACGGACGGACGCGCCATTAGGTCGTAGATCAATCATCGTACGCAAATGAGCCGCAACTATAGAGCTGTGTATGATTCCGAAATGCACGTGTCACTGCTCTTCCTCCTTTCGAATAATGGATCGTGTGAATAAAACGAGATCTGTTGCCGTTGCTAACAGCTTCAGTTGCTATATCGTGTAACGTGAAGAGATCATATCATCCTACCAAAGTACTTATACCGAGAGAAAAGTGTTTGGTACTTGAGAGTGTGATTGCATGGAAAAATAATTATGGTTAAGAGCTCCATTTTTAAGTTATTACTGTTATAATGTTAGTAATAATAATTAGATATATTTAGAGTTACTCGTATATGTACTGAAAAATATAGCACAAAATATATATAATAATTAATGACTACGAAAATGACTATGGTTGTTCATAGTCGTTTTCGATGCTAACTATATATCTTTTTATATATAGAACTATATATATATTTATTACCCTATTATAAATATAATATTATTACTGCATAATAGTAGTAAAAACTATAACGATGAAGCTCTTAACCGTAACTATTTTACCATGTAATTATAGTTACAAATACTAATCACTTTTCTCTCAGTGCAAACACTAATAGCAAAAAAATAGCGATCATGTTTTGATTAATATATCCGGTAAATACAAAAATCGTAATTGAGCTACTTTAGCTTTATTCATTTGAAATTTTCACGATAAAACAATATTTATTCGTGTATTTATTTGAAAATGTAGATTATATATATTTTTGAAAATATTTATTCATAAATGTTTTTTATAAATAATTTAGCGAGTATACATATTCGAATAAAATGTAAACTAAAAAAGAAAGCTCTAATAAGCAACTTTTTCTTCTTAATAATAATTAATGTAGTAAGTAAATATTTGGTTTTAGTGATAGAAAATCATTTATTTTACTGTTTTCATATTAAATTTGTCATACCAGCTTTACTTTTATTTTCTTACTTAAAATTTAAATTTGAATATAGGATGATAAAAAGATGTTTACCCTACTCTTAATAAGATCGTCAGAGACTATCTGTCAGCTTTTGATACAAACACGTATAAAACATGTATTTTCTTATGGTCTTGACTTACTTATAAGCAAATGCAATTACTTAACTGCTTATACGATTCGTAAAATATTTTGCATTCGAACTTCACTAAAATTGTCGAAACGTGATTATACCAAGATGAGAATTATTGTCTATGCTTTTACTAAGGAATATATTTAATAATGTGGTTATGATCTATATAGTAGGAGTGAAAATGCGAATTAAAGTATGCATCACATTTACAAATATATTCATTTAAACTGAATAAAAAGAATTTATTCGTTTTCCATACATAAAAAATTATATTCATATTCTCGTATTAATTCTCATGATTAATTCATTTATTCGAATATTGGATATCGGATACACTAGTTTTGATAGCTGGAAAACTGTTAGACATGGAGGATTGAAAGATTTTAATTAATGAGGTTTGATATAATAGTAGAAACAGATGTCTAATTCATTACTCTATAGGGCTAATTTAATCAAAAATTTTATTAAAAAATGTTATCAGAGAATCAAAAATATGGAGTAAACGAAAGTGCGTGTGACTTATCTTCTATACACAAATAGGGTCGAGTTCTCTTACCTTTCGCACTGTCGTAGTGTCCACGAGGCGATGATCCACAGGGAGACCATGAAGACTAGCAGCACCGTGCCCGGGCAGATGGTCATCAGGGTCTTGAGGACGAACCTGGTATTAAAGTTGATGCGATTCAAGGCCCCTATGCTTCGCGACGACGCGTCTGTGAAGAGCTTCGAGTGCAGCAGCATCACCCGGCAGATGAGGTAGAGCCTGAGGAACATCGGTAGCGAGAGGGTGACGTCATACGGCACCCACTTGGAGCCGATGTCGCCGTTCTTGTTCGCCAATTTAGTCGTCCACAGGAAGTAGTACTCGCCCGGGATCGGGTGGATCGCGCAGATCGCCAGTTCCACCGAGATTTGCGCGATCCGCTGCCAGGTCATCGCGATCCGCCAGTCGTCCGCGCAGTTATCGATCATGAACAACTGTCGCCCGACAAAAGAAAACGGACAGATAACAAGAGATAACACTCTCACAACCGGAACGTGTCTGTCTAATGTCGTCTGAAGTTTTGTGTGCTTAAATCGGAGAAATATTTTTTCCTTAGAAATATACCCAAACAGAACAAACAGTCATGATGATATCAAAATGAGTCCAAAATAATAAAAAAAACCGTTAGATTCTTTAGGTTTTAACGATAATAAAAAGATAAAAATTTGGACTCTGCAATTAGTACGCTAAATATTTAATAAAAAAATAAATTTCACATGTATTGAAACTTTTGAATAATGTTTGACGTTTGATCATATAATAAAAGAAGATACGTTTCGATTACTTTTTTGCATTATCAGCGCATGCAAAAATAGATACAACAGTCATGAACGAATTACATCGTTAAATTGTTGTGCAATCTGTCTACGAAATCTTTTGCGGCCAAACTCCACTCCATAACAAGTCAGGGAGTATTCGTCTCACAACTAGTTAGACGACTGGATGATAATGAAAAAGTTAAGTCTTCAAGATCGCAACAGACGTGTTCAAATATTAATACATCAAAAAAATTTGGCAATCCTCCACGATAGAAAAAAAGGGTGTACATTGAGAAAATTGGTATGTATAACCATTTATTTTGTTGATATGTGACTAACAAAACTTTTTTACTTTTTCATTTAAAAACCGTATTGTTCCAATTAAAATTTAGTTAAAATAACAAAATTGTGTTGTTGTAATCAAAATTTGATTAGAATAACCAAATTTTTATTAGAACAACGCAATTTTTAAATAAAAAAAGTAAAAAAGCTTTTGTTAATTGCATATTAACAAAATATTATATTTGGTTATACATATCAAAACATTTCTCTGAGTGACATAACATTTACACACAGTCAAAAATCAAAAAACGAAACTGAGCAGTAGACACGACGGTTACACGTCTCAGTGAAAACAGTTTTTACTAAGATATATAACCGTCATGTTTATTTCCCACGTTTCGTTCTTTGATTTTTGACTGCAGTGTTCTGGGCACTTCGACCACTGTTTTTCCTTTTTCAAGTAATTGTTATACGCCCTTCTTTCACAATGCGAAGGACTGCCGAATTTTTTCAATGTACTAATATTTGAGCACATTCGTTTGCGATCTTGAGGACTCAATTTTTTTGTTACCGTCCAGTTGTCCAGCTGGTGAGATGAATATTCGCGATCCCCGTCTTGTTATGGAATGGAATTTGGCCGCAAGGAATTTCGTAAACGGATTGCACAACAATTTTACGACGTAATTTTCTAATGACTATTGTTTCTATTTTTATATGCGCTGATGATGGCTAGAAAGTAGCTAAAATGTACGTTCTTTTGTTATATGACCAAAACATTAATTTTAATATATATGTAAAATTCAATTTTTAATTAATGTATCATGTTGACGTTAACGTGACCTGTTATTTTACTGGATTATTAAAAGTAATAAGCTATAAATTATTACTTAAAGCATTATTTTTGTATTCAAATATTTAAATAACCTCAAGAACTATTCCGAGGAATATTTGATTTTATAATGTATATATTTCTAATATTCTCGATGAATTTAAATACTTGAATATTATTCCGATAATTATTCCAAGGAATATTTAATCAAGAAACCCATTTATAATGATTATTTTACATGTTCTTTTTTACGTTGAAGACTTAGAGTATTTACTTTCTCTGTATTGAATATTCCAGTAAGCTTTTATCTATAAATCTCATGAGATTAATATGTAATACGATTGAGAGTTAATCGAAACATATTATTAACTGTTCAGATACTTGTCGAAGCTAAACATTATTGAAAAACGTCTATTAAATCCGCCTATCTCGCACGATTGTTTGTCGAGCGCGGACAGATAGAAATGAATAAATTAATGCTCAACCCTTCAGTATTATTATACGCATATTCAAAGTGATTTTTCGGTACGTCGACTGATATCGATTGCGCGAAATTGCCAATCGAGACAAATGAGCCCACGTATCCCAGATACGAGAGCTCGCTCTTTGAGCCTCCAGCCCGATTAATATGAATTCCGGCCGCTTTGCCCCGACTTGATTAAAACGCCGCGCCACGTATTCATTGTTTATCACCGTTTATCCCGTGCGAGGAAACACGTCGTTGTAACCGTACACACGCCACCGCCATTCCAGTAACAAATCATCCTTAACTCGGTAACGATCCTGTCAGATCTAAACAGATCGTGTTAAAGGACTCTACACACTACAAACACACGTATCATTCGAGGCACGTAATACGTGATTTGTATCGTGTTGTGATACGGATTTTTATTCCTTTTTATATTATTCATTTTCTCAATCGGAAAGATTTTCACGGACATAGACGCAAATTTCTATGTACATTTGTAATTTTTTACTCAACAATATAACTGTAATATAATACAAGTGTTATATTACAATTATAATGTTGAATGGAAAATACAACAGGTATGTTATATATGTAATTTGATGTTTACTGCGATTCGTTATTTTTTATTTTTTTTATATTAGAATCACGCACAGCATAAATTAACAGTAATATTACATTAATAATTTCCCATTCAATGATATAAATTTAATATAAAATATGTTACATAGTATAACAGTTATATTGTCGAGAATGAAATCATGAATTCATATAAATTTTTCATCATAAATAATCTAAAAAATTAGTTTCTAAAATATTATACTTGAGAAACATGAGAATAGTTTAGGAGATCCAATCTGATTTCACTAATTAATTATTTATGTATTACGCGATATCAGATTACTATTATCGGAACACTACGCGAGAGATCATTAGGACTTGAAGCATCATAAATCATCCCTTAAGTTTCCCCCGCTCCAACGTGTCGGTTGGAACCACACGATTTTAAACTTCGCCGCTTCGACAATGGAGTTGTTCCACTCTGAGGATCTCCAAGATCTTCGGGATATGATACATCCATCACGAAATGCGGAGATCTTTTATATCTTAGCGATATCTCATCCGCATGATACATCGTGAATACTTTGCAGCTCGTATCTCTCAGCCAGCGCTGAGGCCACGGAAGATGCGACCCACCGGCGTCCTGAATAGATTAGTATAATGCAGTGGGAGTCCATTTATCCGGTGGAATAATCCGGAAGATACGAAGATTGTCGCGCAACGAAAAAGTGAAAAAAAAAATTCGCTGTGTACCGTGAAACCGTAAAAGATGGAATGTGCGACACAAAGACATTTGACGATGGCAAAAATGCAAACTGTCGGATGTGCGCTGCGCGCATTTGAGGGTCTAACTGTAGGGTCGGCTTGAACATCACTGATTTATGGATCCATAAATCTATAGTAATGTCATACATTCTAAACCTCACGTTATCTGAGCGGCCGCAGAACCGTGGACACCTTATAACGAGCTTTGAAGTAAGAGGCTATAGTATTACAGGATTCTGTGATGAGGGCAAAGATACACAGAATATTAATAGCAAATTTCGTGGAAGTGAATAAACGTTCGTTAAACTTGCGATTCTTTTTTGTTTTATCAAATTTCGTCGGCATACAGAGAGAACGGTTTTTACAGAAGTATCCAAAAATTTAATTAGATACAGATCTGAAAGTAATTTTATTCACTTAATTTATAGTGTCAAATTTAACCTAATTTAAATCGCCATTGCTCCTATTCAATGTGCCGTTATGTTATACTAACGCAATGATTAAATTTGACAATATATAGTGTCAATTTAACGCTATATGGTGTCAAATTGACACTATATAGTTTTAAATTTAACCAAATGTAGATTTAACAATGTTGGATTTTCAAAATAACTATGTGTAGAACGCTTAAGCATCGATGATAAGACTTTTAATATTCTACTAACTATAGTTTGTCCTACATATTTATTTTAATGATTCAAACAAAGTTATTTTCAAATTTGTATCTGAATTTTTAGGTATTTCAGCAAAACCGTTCTTCCCGTGCAATTTATCGCGTTCCTTCTTTTTTCAATTTTTTTCTGTTAATTCTTTTTCTGAGGATCGACATTAGGAATTGAGAAAGATTGTTAACGACTCGGTATATATTCGATACTGAATTGAATTCAGAAAAGTCGATGAAAAAGTCGATTCATTCACGGAAAGAACAGTTTGTTGAAGTCTAAAAAATATTAGCTTTTAAAAATAAATTTTGTTGCACTCAAAATAATTATATAGGATGCTCAAAGTGGTTGCTGAAATATTAAAACTTTTTGCAGCTTTGTTTATCATGCTTGAGTTTTCTGCATAATTATTTTTATGATCCAGCAAAAAAATTATTTTAAGATCTGTACTTATACAGTAAAATTTTTAGATCAGTAAAATCATTCTTTCTGTATATCTGTAAAATATGAAGAAAGATACACACATATATATACATACTTATGTATGTATATATTATATATACCTGCGAGTATATATACGGAAAGAATTTTCTCTTAAAATTTACTCTGAAAATATGATATAATACAATATTTTACAGATTTTTATCATGCATTTCAGCAAAATTAATCAACTTATTTTATATTTTATTATAATTTTATTAGCGAATAAGAGAGATTTACATAAAATTCTTCGAAGTTCTTCGATTCGACAATATGTTGTCCCATGACTACTATATTTTCAAAGTAAATTTTAAGAGAAAATTCTTTCTGTGTATACACATATGAGTATATACATATATATATGATATATGATATTACATTGAGAAAAAATTCTAGTTAAAATGAACAATCAGAAAATTCTGATCATATCAATCAAAATTCTAGTTATTTCAATTAAAATTATAACAGATTCGATCAGAAAATTATGATTGGTCCATTTTCAACCGAAATTCCAATTAGTGCACAAAAAAAGAGAAAGAAAGCGTTATTTATTGCGCTTTAGGACAAGTCCTCTCAAACGAAGAAACTGTCTTACAAATTGGAACTAATAATCTAAAGAATTGACCTAAAT